AGCTTATTTGCGAAACATCTTTACAGCTTTTGCTGTTGGTTTGAGTGGCCAGAAGCTCAGTAAATTCCAAAAAAAATCTAGACCGTTTTCATCATTGCCATCGATTTTGGGGTACTTGTTACTTAGGAAAAGAGACGAAAAAAACAGCTGGCACATCATCATAAAAAAAAATCTTCAGATTTACGCACGGGCGTGGGTAAGTAAAGATTTTGTTCATAGTGGCTCAATAGGACTTATAAAAGGCAAGCACGTGCGCTATGTTATTATTTATTCAGTAAAGAGAGCAGAAGCGGCCCAAACTGCATTTTTTTTTTCTCCCGCCATATTTTATTCCTTCTCGATCCTTCTCTTCTTGGGCACCACAAGGACCGAAATTTATGAATGTAAACCCAATGTCAATTTGTTTCGTCTTTTAGGATCTTTCTAGTACTAGGCCCTCCTCCCGCGCGCCCTGTAAACAGCCTCCAATTAATTTTCCTTTAAATATACGTATTAAGAGAATCATACTCCGTTGATATAATCACGAATGAATACCACTGACAACTAGGGTATAAGGATTTTTTTAGAGTAATTATATTGTGTAGTCGGACATGTGTAGTTTATAATCTAACAATTGATGATTACTTCTGGATTTTTTCCACTCCCGTGGCAAAACAGGAGGACATCATAAACGTTGTTCATTCAAGGTTTCTTACAAAGAGGAGCTGAGAATAAAATATGTTTTATGTCACCTAAAGCAGTTTATTGCAAAAGCTAGTATCTCTTTTGAACACAGGAACAAAATAAGTTGCCTTTCTACCCTGCCTTCATGTGAATACCTTTACTGATGTCAGGCCTAAATTTGTTCTGTATCCTGTCAATTCCAATGATCTGTATCCCATGTCAAATACTGATGGTGACGTTATTCCAAGGAAAGGAAAGGAAAGGCTTTTTCTCGAACAAAACTGTGATAGGGAACATATAGACCTTATCACGGTTTTGGAAGCCATATTGTCGGGTCAAAGGCAACCGCGTTCGAAATAACAGTGCATGTTTGCATGTAGGAGAATCTATTATCGAATAATTTTTTCGTAAAATGGCTGCTCTGATAATTTCATGGGAATTGTAACTGACTAAAGCTACACAGCAAACGATTCTACTGACAAATTCTGGGGGCCGTACCTTTGCTTTAATTTCCCAGTCGCTTGCTTTAGATTCTCCATATTTGTCTGCAATTTTTTCCTGGGTAATTTCAGTCGGCAGGAAAATGTTTTTTACAGGCAAATATGTAGAGAATTTTAAAAAGAGGTTCTAGCACATGTAAAACTCTCAAATTTTTTTCAGTAGAATCCTTATAAGTTAAAGTTTAGCTTACAATTCATATTTTTTCCAGAGCCGTTTTACGGAAAAGATTCGACATTGGATTCTCAAACAAACACCGTAATTTCACGTGGGGTTGCCTACCCGTCAAGTGGGCTTCCAAAACCGTGATAAAGGCTATAATGTCAACATTTACTCAAAAATGCAAGTTCCTGAAATTATTTGTCTTTTCCTTTACCTGTGTATATACTAGCCTTTCTAATCGGTCACTGAACTTTCTTGTTTTATCACAAAAGATTTCTTTGACACTCTACGGCTCCGAATCTCTTGGCCCCTTAATTTGTTGCCCAAATATCCCGTATCCATATAATATCTACAATCATGGACAAAAGTCCTTGGGGCAGTCAGAACGTAACTTCAATTCTATGCGTTTCACAAGTTCTGTCGCAAAAAGCAATGCTGTCTTTTTAAAAATCCATGTCCCCTCCCCCCTAACCCCACCCAATACAATGTTGAAAGATCAAAGGAATTGTGCCTTGACAGTTTTAACACTGTCTGTGGGGTGGGGGTAGGGGGTAGGGACGTACAGTGTTAGTAGCGAGCGGATACAGTTTCGCGTGTGTTAAAAAGCGTTCGAACTGTATAACTGTCCCAAGACTTTTCTCCATGATTGTAGGTCTAGATTCAGCGGGCTCTTGGCTTTGAACCATAGGCCGGTTTTTGCAGGTGTGGAGGTGATAACTTATGCACTATGTTTCAATCAACTAAGAGATTTTGGCGGGAAACAGTTTCATTGTTAGATGTCATGTGAATTCGAAATATCCAATGAGAGAGCAGGCTGTTGGGAAGAAATTTCCAGCTAATATAACCATTTCAAGTATGGACAGAAAAGAGACAATGTTTTCTACAAAGACCTGTAAAATAATCAAATCCACAAAATAATGTATTTTCTGATATTTTATACCAATAAAAAGGTTAAGAGTTGTACAGATCTTCTTACATAATTATATTAAGAGAAAAGACAGAAAATAATTATGTTCAAAGCCTATTAAAACTAAATCTATAATAATATTAGTTACATGTAACGACTAAAAAAATTAGAATGTGAAACAAAACTAAAAAGGAATGTACTTGCAGACCTCTTATAATACTAATGCCCTGTATACGTGAGTAACACCACCCGGGATGAATTTTGTCTAAATATCGCATTATTTTCTTCTTTCCTTCCTTTCCAAAAGAAACTCTTGACGGACATTATTGTTGCCTTAGTTGGTCACGATGTTTTTCGCCTCTTGGCCAATGTAACGAGGCTCAGAAAAGAAAGAAATATGGTGTGTAGGTGTATTTTTCGTCCCCACATTGAGGACGAGGGTAAAATAATCTCGGGACTCACTCATCATGTAAATATTAAGTAGAAAATAACATGGCCCCAGTTGATCAAAAGGTGGATGGCGTTATCCACTGGATAACGCAATTAGTTTTCGTAACACTTATCCATTGAATAGCGATTTATATGGTGGATAGCGATATCCAACTTTTGAACAACCCAGGCCAGATGCTGAGAAGAAATGGGCCATCTCTGAGTTTCCTCAAGCTCCTGTTTCAAAGCGCTGACAAGTGCCATTGATATGAAAATGGGTTTTTATTCTCATGTAAGTAAATCTTGTTTTTACAAGAAAGATTTTGCATTTAGCCTTGTTTTGAACGTGAGAGTTATTGGAACACAGAAATGATATATTAATCCGAAAATGAAACTCATTGGTGGTAACATTTCTCATGAAAAAAAAAAAGCCCTAACTACACGGCCGCTCACTGCACTAACATTTCTTCAAGAAACTAACAGATTTGACATTAAATAATAACACTAATAAATAGGGATTATTTGTATTAAATGTAATAAAAATATACTACCAACCAACTCTATAAAAATGCCTTGTTGCTATAAATTATCTAGAAGTATGACAGTCCTATAAATTATTCGTGTTTACATTGTCCTTTCTTCTAACTTTCCATCTTTTGGCAAAGTTATTGCCTTTCTGTGACTCTTGTTTATTACTTTGAGGCTGTGCACCTTAAGAAAGGGTAAATTAATAGGCCATTTCCGAGTACCTCCGGGCCTGTATCAAAACGAGGTTAACTGCTCACCCTTTGAAATGGAAATGATTTTTGATTCTCATGCAAATAAAACTCATTTTCACATAAAAGGTTGTTCACTTGGCCTCATTTTGAAAGTAGGGGATGGATTTGGAACTCGGAAGTGGCCTATTGATAAGTATGTCTCTTTTCATGTACTGTGGTGAGTGTTGTTTTAAGATGTACAGTTAAAACCCACGAGGTCTTTAAGAACCAGCATTATCCTAAGTTAATAGCCAAAACAGGTTCTTACATAAATGGTAAGTTAGCAAAAATTTAGGCTAGCTTCTTACTAGGCTGTTATTTTCTGAAGAAAAAATATACATTGTAGTTAAGAAAATTAACGGTTTTCAGCTTTTTCCTTATATGTGTATAAAAAAAACTAATCTGAAAAGGCACCTATGTCTCCAAAGAGGATGGCGACTTTCATCATATCTTATCAGTATTTTGCCCAAGTTTACAGCCTTTTTTCAATAAAGATTTTAGAAAATAAGAACTTGTCTCAAATTTTAGGCTAAACAGGTCCTTGTACCGAGGGGGCCTAATTGGCAAATTTTAGCCTAACAGGTTCTTAAAAACCAGGTTCTTTCTCGCGGATTTTTACTTTACTATGATTAATGTCAATACAACGGTACTGATCTTTCCACATCTCTCTCTGCAGTCAAACAGTACCAGAATGCATGTTTCTTTTGGTCAAGGAAGTGAACCTGCCATTCAGAATAAAACAACACTCAATGTCAACTTTTTTCTATTCATCTTTTCTTAAACGTTTTCCTCAAGACTGGTCAGTATGTCTTTAATGTACTGCACTATATCTGCAAAAGCCTCATCACCTTCATCCGTTCTTGCTGGTCCGCCTTCAGTTGCAGTTGTCACAAAGCCATGAAAAGACTTGTAGTTCTTGTATTTGACTGGAACCTCTGCTTTTAGTAATCGCTCTGAATAAAGAAACCCTTCATCCCTTAACACATCAAATTCTGCAGTAATGATAAAGGTTGGTGGGATTCCCCTGAAGTCTTCAGCCATCAAAGGAGATCCTCTGAAATGTGTTAAAGCTTCTGATGTCCTTGAATCCAGTTGTATTTGAGGCTTTTCCTGTAAAGCTTCTAAAGTTGGTTTTCCTAGATATGACATGTACTTTGTGCCTCTAAGATGTTGCGAATGATTACCAGAAAGAAAGATGTCTGTGAGGTTTGTAGAACCATTAAGGTACAGGGAAACAAAATTGGCATGATCTTCTCTAGATAGGATATCATTATCTGCATTTGTCACATAGGATGGCAGATTAAAGTCCAGAAATTGCAGGGAAGGATAGATGAGAATCTAAAAAAAAAAAATGCATAAAGGCACATTTACTTTGTAAATAATATGCACTGAGCTATAGTAATAACCAGACAGTCATTATTTTACAATAAATCCATTTTGCCATGTCTTTTTTGTCATGGGCTTACAGATGGTTTTGAAATGTTGTAACAACAAAAAAGTGATCAGTGATTTGCTCCCTGATGTTACACCAATTGCCACATTTTGACAACTTCTAATATCTACAGTGTATATGTTGTAGTTAATTTTTTATCTCAGGTAATTTTTATTTTTCCTTAACTAACTAACTTAACTAACTTCGTTAGTATGCATTATCATACCCAAAACCAGAAGAAAAACAAAAATTACCTGAGATAAAAAATTAACTGCAACATATACACCAATGTACCTGAACAGTCTCATAACTTTTCCAAAACATTATGAAAGAAAAGAAAACTTAGGTTACTGGATACCTTCGGGGGTGTCTCAAGGGCAAGTAATGTTCAGTAGCACGTTCCTGTTAAACTGCAGATGCTTACAACCCTATACCAAATTAAAGCTTATTAACCTGGCTTTCGTAATAAACCATCAGTTTGTTGAAAAAAAAAACAACAACAACAACAACAAAATGCACTGTCAGTTTTTGTTAGGATTTCTTAATGCCAGCATCCGAAACACGTTTCAAAAGCTAAAATTCACAGCAGTGTTAATTTGATTTGTTCTAGTCATGCTCATATAGTAGTCAAGCCCGGGCAAACCCCAGTACCCTGCCCTTATTGACAGCCCTACTAGCTGTAATTAAGATCTTGACTCAGTACAAATAATTACGCATTGTCTTCTTTATCCTATCTTACCATTTTGAAGGGAACACAGGCCTCAGTAGTGTTTGACCCTTTAAGCCCCAATATCCACATACAAAGTCTCCAAACTGATCTCAATACATTTCCTTAGAGAATGTGTTGAGAGAATTTGATAAACAATCAAGGCATTTTCTCTTTGGTGATCATTTTATTACTTCTCATAACCGGATCTCTTGACAATGTATGGATATCGTTTGGAAAAATTGATTTTGGTCGCCCTCGAGACCTAAAAGATTTAGGGTTATATGGATTGTAAGAAGGTCTTTTACAAAAATTTATTTGTACTCACATAGCACCTTCGCTGTTCTGGTGTCTCAAGGTGGGGGGGGGGGGGG